TGCCAAAGCCCTGGGGTCCATAAAGTGTCCCTTCGTGGAACTTTCCTCTCCAGGAGCCTGGATCCCCATGGCAGCCCCAGAGAGGGGCTTGGGGAGACTTCATCTGTCCCCACCCCCCAGAGTCTATCCACTCTCTTACCCGAAGGACTGATGTTGCCTCAGCATAAGGCAAATGCAACTTGAACACAATCCCTGGGACTGCTCTTCTAACTGGGTTCTGCTTCCTCCCCAAATCCGTTGCCGTAGCCCCAGTTCTTTTTTTTTTTTTAACGTTTATTCATTTTTGAGAGACAGAGAGAGTGTGAGCAGGGGAGGGGCAGAGAGAGAGGGAGACACAGAATCCCAAGCAGGCTCCGGGCTCCGAGCTGTCAGCACAGAGCCCGACGTGGGGCTTGAACCCACGGACCCTGAGATCATGACCTGAGCTGAAGTCGGATGCTTAATCGACTGAGCCACCCAGGCACCTCACTGTAGCTCCAGTTCTGCACGATTTCCCTGCTTACCACTTTCCACCCAGGGCTTTGCCGGCTAGAACCTACTGGTGGAAGGGGGTGGGCATGAAGGCGACCCCACCGGCGGCCGGGCCCCGGGCCCAACCCACAAGGGGCCCTGGGAGGAATGTCCTGGGACTGTGGCCCAGCCCCTTTCTCCGCCCCCTTGTCCTGAGCGGTGGAGGCCAGGGCTCCGGGGGCGGGGGACTTTGTCACCACGGTGATACCAGCTCCACCTGCTCAGACCTCTGAGAGACAAAGCCCCCCATTGGCTTTGCCTCCCCTGCCTTTCCGAAAGAAAGAAAGAAAGAAAGAAAGAAAGAAAGAAAGAAAGAAAAGAAAAAAGAAAAGAAAAGAAATTCCTGCAAGTTGAACAATCCTTGTGTTGGATTTGGGAGATGTTATTCCGAGTGACAGACAAGGGCAATTATCTGCAATCCGCCAGCAGTTTTAGCCTAATTTCATTACTGCTGTGCAATTCTCCCTGAGCTGCTAGTCTATCAATGTCTCGCAGAACGGATTAGCGGGCACTTTCTTCATCTTCAAATGAATTTTAGCTGTCATGCCCTTGATGAATACAGCGGGGACAGGCGGCTGACCCGGACTGGGGAGTGGCCAGGGGGCGGCAGGCAGGCGGCCTCCGGGCCTGGAAGGAGGTGAGGCAGTGGGGGACAGACCAGTGAGGGGAGGCACAGGGAGGAGAAGGCACCTGAATGAGGCATCCAGCCCGCCGGGGACCTTCCGTGCCCAGGATTTAGGGCTGCCCGGGCCCATCTCCCGGGGCTTTGCACACTGTGCCTGCCATCCGGGGACAGCCTCCCAGCTCCCGGGCTGAGAATACAAGAGGGGGCTCTTTCCTCGATGCGCACGGCTGATCCCCGCCCATCCTGCAGCCCTCTGGGTCACCCTGACACAGCACCCAGGCTCCAGAAACTTCCGCTTGAAGTCAGCCTCCCTGAGACACCGTGGACCTCACAAGAGCAGAGTCCAGCATGGTCTTGTCACTACTGTGTCCCCAGAGCCGAGCTCATAGGAGATGCTCTGTCAGTTTTCATTGCAGGACAAATGATTCTCAGTTTCTCCTCAGCTTGGGTCGGGGCCTGGCGTGGGCCTGGCACATGGCAGGAGCCCAGGCGCTATTAGACGAATGCGTGACGCCACGGAGGCTGATTGGAAAGAGGGCGGAGAGAGGGAGGAAGGCAATGGGGGTCCAGAGCTCCTCCTATACGTCGAGCATCTCGCTTTGTGCTTTGACTTGGCTGACGTGGCCTCTCCAACGTCACAGAGGTGTCAGTTGGGAACGGGTGAACCCAGGCCTGTCCGGCCATCCTCTCCAACTCCCAGGGAGCACTGTTTTGGGAGCACTAGATGTGGCGTGAGATTCTTATGGACAGGGGGAGGCCCCATGGAGAGAGGGGAGGAGCCCTGGGGAGAGGGCACGTGGGACCCTGTGTTAGCCACATGGGGTGAAGACCATGCCGGCTTAGGACTCCCTCGTCTCTACTCCCACCCAGAAGCCTTCTCCACCTCCCCTCCAAAAGCTTTCCAAATTCCCGGGACGGGGGCTATGGTGGACTCTCCCCTTTTCCACCCGTCCCCGCGTTCTTCCCCGTGCCCTCGATAGCTGACCTCCACAGGCTTCCCCCCCCCCCCCCCCACCTCTGGCTTCCAGGAGGGATCATCCCCTGCGAGGCTGGGAGGGGCGGACAAAGGGAGGTTGGGGACACTCCTGCCCTGACTCATTGGCAGAGGCTGTGTCCCTCGGAGCCCATGGCTCCCGCCTGGTGGCACTCCCTCTGTGGTTCCCCAACTACTGGGCTATTGTAGCTCCATTTCTGTCCCTTCAGATCTAAGGGTCCCTGCTGTTCCCCGGCCCTGAGGGTCTGCACCTTTCTCCTCAGAACTCCCCTTCCGGAGCTCTCCTCACCTGTGCCCTCCGAGCGGCTCGCTGGGTCCTGCCGGGATGCTCACGGATGCAGGATGAGTGGAGATCCGGTCCATGGTGACAGCGGCCTCCATTAGCCCCGCACCTGCTCCGGGCCGGGCCCAGGGCTGGGCTGCGGGCGTCCACCGGCCCACTGAAAAAACTCTCAACCGCTGGGTCTCAGAGGAGGGCACCGAGGCCCAGAGAGGCCAGGAGACTGTGGGGGGCACCCAGCAGGGAGTGGGGGGTGGGTCCACCTGAGCCCAATCCTGCCCTTCTGACCACACTCAGTTCTGCCCCAACCAGGACCAGTGGACCTTCTGTGGTTCTTCACGAAGACCAGATGTCCTCGTTCACCCTGGAAAAGGCAGCCACGGCGGATCCTTTACGCTCCCTCAGCCCCCAGCAGGCTGCCACATCAGCAAAGGGAAGTGGAGCCCGAGAGAAGAGGGGTTCCCTCCACAGCGGCCGTCCCACCGGCCCCCTACACCCCCTGGGGAGCTTGCTCTCCTCTCCCCAGGGCTGCAAGATGAGGCTCAGATCTGTCAAAGCCGGGCTTCCCTCCCCATTTTCAAGTTCTGGTCCTTTCTCCAGGCACCTGGGAGACTCTCCCAAGTTTATCGATCGCCAGGGCAGCCTCGAGTCAATATGGTGCACTTTGCTAATTAATCTTTTCCAGATAATTGCGGAAAATTATTGGTTTGCGTGAAGCTGGGATAAGGGGCAGCCTCCGTCCCCGCTGCGGCCCAGAGTGGCTTCCGGCAGAGCTCAGGGTACCAGCCCAGACCCTCTGCCCTGCCTCCCGCGCCTTACTTGCCTTTCTCTACCTTGAATCGGGGGCAATGGGCCCTGCTCCCCCCACCCCCTGCCCAGCCCCCTTCCAGAATCTTCAGCCCAAGACCCCCGGGCCAGCTCTCCCAGAGCTGCTCTGGGACGCGGGGCAAAACACTAGGAGCAGGGCTGGTCCCAGGTGCAAATCCCAGCTCCGGCAGTTACTAGCTGTGCCGCCTTTGGTGGGTTATTGAACTTCTCTGAGTCTCAGCTGAAGAACAAAATAGAGTTTGTCGTCTCCGCATCACCGGGCTGCTTCTAAAGACAAAACAAAAGAAGGCGTTTTAACACTGATTTACCAGGACTTCTGCAACTAATGATACCAACGCCCCCAGCGGCAGCCAGCACTGGACAGGGGCTTCGCCACATTCCAGGTACCGCTCAGAATGTCTGAGGGGGGGCGATCATTAGCCCCATTTTACAGAAAGGGAACCTGAGGCCCTAACGTTGCACAGACAGTAAGAGGCCGAGACTGAAATCCTGTTCGGTAGCCGGGATGCCGATCTTCGCCTCCCGCGGTGTCACCGAGCTTGGCAGAGTGCCTGGCGTACAGCCGTGTCGCCGGGAACTAGTCCCCCACATGCCCCTCTCCAAGGCCAGGGAACGCTAGCTCTGGGTGGCAAGTCCCCCACCCCGACCCCGTCATCAGGCTGCGGTGGACGCAGGGCCCTCCCCGACGCCCCATGGTCATTAATCCAAACTGGACACTCCTGGGTAAAGTCCCCCGTCCCTTTAGGGCGTCTCCCTTTCTCCCAAATGTCATTTAACACACCACCTCGCGGGGCTGGAGATACCTGTTCCTAATAAACCTCTAAGACTTTAATGAACTAAATAGCAAATTACTTTTTTATTCAAGAATGAAATTTTATCATATTCATAATTCATATTTTATTTCAGACATCTGCTGCTGATTACATTACATTTAACTAAAATTAGATGATGCTCAGAATGCAATTAAGGATCTGCCAAATTCTTCGGCCCACCAATGCCGGCGGAGCTCAGCGGGGGCCGCTAGGAACCTAATATGTAATTAGGAGCTATTTTCTAGCTGTTTTTAAAGTCTGAAAATTAGCCGCCTTTATTAATCACACAGACAAATATAAAGTGGAACCAACGCTCGCTGAAATTTCTAAAAGGGATTTTTTGTTTAATTATACACCACGGAGCGCTGTGACTCGTTCTGCATGTTGATTTGTTGTGCACTGACATTTTGACAACTGGTTCTCAATTTGTCTGTCGTAGTTAGGCAACAACAAAGCCGACGGTAATACTTTAACTTTCAAAACCTTCAGTGTGCCGGGGAAAGGCAGAATGGCATTTCTCGCCGCGGGCCCCGCCGCACGGGCTCTCAAAGCCACGGGAGCCGCGACACGGGAAGGAGGGCAGGCCAGGGCCAGAAGGGGCTCAGCGGAGGAGGTGGGCCGGGCCGGGAGGTGGTAACAGCACAGGGCCAGGAGTCTGGAGGTGGAGAAGCCAGCCCAACTCTGCAGCTCGGCTCCTCCGGGGAAGGTCTTCTCTCTCCCTGGGCCTCACTCTCCTCCTGGGCACCCAGAGGGGTTTGGCGTCTGAGATCTTTTTTTTTTGTAATTTTTTTTTTTTTTTAAATTTTTTTTTTTTTTGGGAGAGAGAGCGTGCGCGGGGGGGGGGGGGGGAGAAGCACAGAGAGAGAGAGAGAGACAGAGAATCTGAAACAGGCTCCAGGCTCCAAGCTATCAGCACAGAGCCCGACGCAGGGCTCAAACTCGCGAACCGCGAGATCATGACCTGAGCCGAAGTCGGACGCTTAACGGACTGAGCCACCCAGGCGCCCCGTTGTGCTAATTTCTGTGCAGCGTCATCGAGGTCTTGCCCCCCTCTGGGAGGGGCACTTCTATTTCCTCACTGGACAGAGGAGGAAGCTGCGCCCCAGCGAGACTCGTCCCAGGCACAGTGGGCGCAGCAGAACTCAAACTCAGATCCAGTTGACTCGAGAATCCGTTGTTTTAACTTCACTGCTGTAGTCACCTGCCTGGCTGGGCAGCCCCAGGCAGGGGCGGCTCTCCGGGCCTCGTTTCCCATCTGCGCAGCTTGGATGCGGCGAAGCAGCTTTGCAAGGCCTGGGGTTGCCACCCTAGCCAGCTGCCCTTGCCCGCTTGGTAACTGACCGTCCCACCTGCAGCACTGCTGGGGGCCGGGGAGGGGGGACGCAGAAGGGGTCATGGCACAGAGCGGGGTGGAACTTCTGGCTGGGTCCCCGGCCCCCGTGCAACCCCTGAGCGCGTTCCACGTCCCCTGGGCCAACACCCACCCACGAGCTCCAGGGACAGGGTGGCTGCCGAGGGGCCCATTCGACAACAATGACAACAATGACGATCAGAACAGCAAACAGCTTTTTCCTGGGTGCCTGCACTCTGCCACAAATCCTACGAGGTGGAGTCACGGGTGAGCTGGGAGGCTCACATTCTGGGTTCAAACCATTCTCGCCACCTCCCAGCTGAGGTGGCCGGCCTTGGCCGGGCCACCTTGCCTCTCTGCACCATTAAAGTGAAGATCCTGAGGGCATCCGGCTGTCTGGATTCTGGTGAGCTGATACCTACCGAACCAGGTAATGGGTACTCAGTCCAAAGAAGCCTCAGCCAATGGAATTTACCTGCTACTACCCCCATTTAACAGATGGGGTCACTGAGGATCGGTGGGGCAAAGTACTTGCCCTAAAGTACATATCGCTGAGCTGAGAACTGCACCCACGTGGTCTGATTCTGAATGCTCTCACCCCAGCCCCCGGATGCCTCCCCAGTGCCCACTGGGGAAGGCAGGAGAGGGACCTAAAGACCCACCAAACTGGGCAGCCCCGTTCGGCCACCGTGGCTATTTCCAGGGGCCCCCCAATCTCTCACTTCCCTCCTGCCCCCTGGACAGGGTACCCAGCAGTTTTTGGCGGGAGCCGAGGCACGGTGGAGCCCACCGTGGGGGTCTTCTGCCCGCGCTGCCCCCAGGCCGGGGAACCAGCCCCCACCACCTGCCAAAACCCGTTTTCAGGAGCCAGCCCTTCATCCCCCTCCTGCCCCCAGAATCACCTGATAAAAATGCCAACGGAGAAAAGGAGGTTTTTTTGGGTGACAATGAAACTGTCAATAAAATCTCAAACGCGGGGATAGGCAATGACTATTTCACTTACTCTGACAGTTGAGATTTTGCTGGGGAAGGAAAGTGACAGGCATCTGCTGACATCAACACCACTTCTTCCAGAGAACAACCCACGGGAAAGGCGGCCCTGGAGACCTGTGTGGCCCAGATGCCGGCTGGGCTGGGGCTGCTGCGTTGTCAGAGGAGTGGGGGTCAGCACGGAGGAGAGGCTGGACGCCTCGACTCCATCGGCTCATTGTTCGTCCCGTGACCTCCCGCTCTGAGTGCTGACACGCACCGGGCTCTGGGCGAGGGCTGGGAGCTGCAGACGTGAACCGGGAAAATGCCTGCCCTTCAGAGTGTTAGGCGTTCCGTTGTGTCCCTCACCAAAAGACGCGGCGAAGCCCTGACCCCTGGTACCTGTGAATGTGACCTTATTTGGTCACAGCAGATGTCATCGAGGTAAGATCAGGTCATCAGCGTGGGCCCTGATCCCGTGTGACTGGTGTCCTTATGAGAAGGGGAAAAGTCACGTGAGACGGAGACACGGGGAGAAGCCGCTGTGTGGCCACAGACGCAGAGAGTGGAGGGATGTAGCTGTGAGCCGGGGGATGCCCAGGATTGCCGGCCACTTCCAGAGCCGGAAGAGGCAAGGAAGGATTCCGCTCAGAGTCGTGGAAGGAGCGTGGCCCTGCTGACACCCTGCTTTCAGACTTCCAGCCTCCGGAACCGTGCGAGAAAGTATTTGTGTTGTTTCCAGCCTCCCAGTCTGTGGCACTTTGTTATGGCAGCCCTAGGGCACTAATAGAAAAGGCATAAAAGACACCCAGGCCCACTAGGGAGTCAGCAGAGGCAGGAGACTGGTAAAAAAAAAAAGGAGTGTATCTGCTCCCTGAACAGAGGAGACAAATCAGACCCCCAAATCAGAAGGTCCCTCCAGGCACCCTGCTTATCTTCCCATCGGTCACCACCTCTCCATCCGTCCCTAATGCCACTGCTACCTTCTAGACGCTGCCGTCCCTCACTTCCCACTGCCCTTCTCCATGCATTCATCATGCCACAGCTGGGGGACGTTCCAAAGCACAGCTGTGACCTGCCCTCGGGTGCCCGCTTCCCACCCTGGCCCCCCAGGGCTCTCAGGATAACCTTGCCTCATGTTGGCTCCGGGCACCATCTGAACACCAAACCACCTGGGGCTTCTCTGCACATGGTCCAGCACTGCTCGCCTCAGTGCCTTTGCTGCCTGGAACGCCCTCTTTCACCTCCCAACTCAGCCAAAATTCTGCCCAGGCATCTCCTCCTCCAGGAAGCCTCCCCTGATCCCATCCCCACACACCAGCTGGGATGTGTCCCACCCCTTCCTGGGCTCCCAGGGTAACTCAGAACCTGTTGATCTTTACGGTCATTGTCAGTTTGCTTATCTGGCTCTTCCCTGTGAGCCCTGGAGGGCAAGGATGGGTCTCGTTCACCCCTGGGACCCCGGTGCCAGGTGGTACGTCCCCTGGGTTCCGTGACCAAGAAGCATGCTCTGGGAAGCAATGTTGGCCCAGCCATTTAGACCCGGGCCAGACAGTCGCTTGCTGGTGAGATCCTGTGAGATTGCCCAGGGTAGAGGGAGAGAAAGTGGCTTTGGGGTCAAAGGGTCTGGGCTTCAGTCCCACCTACCAGCTGGCTGGCCTCGGGCACATCACCTCATCTCGCTGAGCCTCAGCATCTTTATCTGTGAAATGGGAACAGTAAGACCTATTAACTTGGGGTCTGATTACAGCGATCGTTAATGGTTCCTGTCATTATAATGACGATTAATTCATTGTAATTGTAAGATACCATATGGGCTTCCATTTCCCAAATCCGTGGGTTCCTCAAGGCCAACCTCCCCGACCAACTCCTCAGAAAAATGAACCATACATGCGCCCTTGTGAGAGGGTCCGCAGTTTCTATTTGTCATTTAATTCTTATAACTCTTTACATCTTAATACGTTACCCTTCCGACTGGATGACCTCTCTCTCACCAGCGAGGATCGGCCCTTGAAGGGCTCAACAGTGGCTGCGTGGTCAATTTGAAGCCCTTACTGCCCACTCAGGACCTAGTACAAATCCGAAACAATCTGGGCACCTGAGCTGAGGAGGAAACTGCAGGGTAGAGACTGCAAACGGGATTTGGAGTCGGGCAGACCTCTTTCCACCTGGTTCCTCCTGTAACAAGGCCGTGAGTCTGAGGACCAGCCGATTCCCCTCTCTGAGCCTCAGTCTTCCCTTCTGCCAGAGGAGCAGGTGTCTAACCTCAGTCTTGGGTTCCATCCAGCTCCCTTCCTTCCCGGTTGGGTGAGGTTGGGCATGCCCCACCACAACTCGGCCTCGGTTTCTGTTCTGGAGAATGGGGACAACGCCCGCCGCAGAGAACCGTGCTGAGAAGGAAGAGCGCTTGTGCATGTCAAGCCCGCCATGGGGAACGTGTATAGGGACCGATGGCTGTTACTTTATTGCACCACGTTTGATGAATGGCCAGACCTGCACCGCCCCACGGCCAGGGGCCCCCAAAGCCTGGTAAATGGAGCGAGGAAGGGGGCACAGACCGGTGCTGGGGGCGTTTCCTGTGCTGAGGGCGTTTCCTGTGCTGGGGGCCTTCCAGCCCAGCCCTTCAAAGGACTTTAGAAATGCTCTTTGTCTCCCCGGTGCCCTAGCTGCTGAGAGAGGGAGGGTTTGTGGAGGCCCCTCTTTCCCTTTGAGTGAAGAAAAGATAAGAAAGGAAGTGCCCCACCCCTTTCCAACCAAGACCCCAACCCCCACCCGTTCCCAAACCCAGCAAACCCCTTTGGAGGGCCGGGGCAGCCAAGTCCCCTAAGCCGAGCGGGGTAGCCTTCCCTACTGCAGGTGAGAGGGGCTGCTTTCTACTTTGCTCCTCCTCCTCATTCATTCATTCATTCATTCATTTGTTCGTTCACTCATTCACTCCGAAATCCTCAAGTTCTTAAGTGCCAGGTAGTGTGTTCGACTCGGGGGGGACAGCAGTGAGAGAGACAGCCGTGACACCTGCCCTCAGGGGGCTGGCAATTTACTGGGGTGACAGGTGATGTAACAACAGATGACTGCAGGGTTTGGAAATATGTCAAAGGGAGAGATGGGAAGGGGCGGGGCTGTTCCAGGAAGAGGAAACGGCAGATTTCTGCCATCACCGTTGTCACTGTCATCATCATCCTCATGGTCACCGTCCCTGCTGTCACCTGCCCGGCCCCCCCTATGTGGACTCATGTAGCCCCATGAATCTATTTCCTGTCTCCTGTACTGGAATGTGAGCTTCTCGACGGTAGGCACGGGGTCTGGTTGGCCCCCTCCTCGGTGACTCAGACCAACGCCTGGCACAGAGTTGTTACGCAGTCACGTTTGTTGAGCGAATACAGAGTGAATACGCAGGCACCGCGCTCAGTGCCCTACACCTGTTACCTGACTTAATCCCCACGTATCACCTTATGGGCTGATGGGCTGACGAAGAGGCTGAGGCTCAGAGAGGTGAAGGGGCTTGCCCAAGGCCACACAGCCAGCAAGTGACAGAGCTGGGATTTGGACCCAGTTCTATCTGGGCTCTTTCCCTCTACTGCTCAGGCCTGGAGTGGAGGGGTCTGGGGAGGGGGCGGGGCTGTGCAACAGACAGCAGGGCCCCTGGCACCCCCCAAAGGAAGCAGGTCTGAGAGGGACGGTACTGTGGGCTCCATAAATAACCCGGGTCCCTGGGCCCCGCCGGAGGTTTAGCGGCCCGAGAGTGTGTGTGTGTAATACAAACAGCTCTAATCCCCTGTCAGTTAAACTGGATATCAGAGGAGACAAGCTTCCGAGCGGGGAGGCCTAATTGAATGGAATTGAAAAGGCGGAATGGGCAGCCGGGCCACGGAGGCGGGATGCGGGGCGAGCAGGCACGCAGGGCGGCAGCTGGATGGGCCTCCCCTGCTCTGGTCCGGGCAGTGCTCCAGCCCCCCGCCGCAGGGAGAGGGGCTTGGGGGTGGTGGGGGGCATCACTATAGGGGGGGGGGGCACCCCAGCCAGGGCACTCCGCCCCCGCCGGCCTCCCCTTTATCTGCTGGCTCTGCCATTTTCTCTCCATTGCTGACCCTTTTTCTGTTCCCTCTGTTATCTCGAATAATGTCACTGCCTCTTTAGAATCTATTCATCAGAGCAGAAAGAAGCCAATGCTGACTCTGATAAAAAAAAAAAAAAAAAATACCATCTGTGCCTCCCGGGGAAGAGCTCTCAACCCAACCTCTGGCGCCCCTGCCCGCCCCCGCCACCCACCCGCCTGCCATTTCCTGGGGGTGCCGAGGGGTAATCAGATTCCGCCGGAGGCCGGGTATCCTCCCACAGGTGGTGCCCCCACTCCCAGCTCACTCTCCAAAGCTAGGGGGAGACGGTCTCTGAAAGAGGTCTCTACCCCGGGCAGTTTTCCATCCACAGAAGAGCTTGATTTGGCCATGTGAATTTTTTTTTTTTTTTTAGATTGGTTTCTCTTTATTGGCTGACGATATGTATTTTATCCAAAAATCCAGATTCTGAATTCTCTTTAAAAACGAGAGAGGAAGGTTGGAGGACAGTGGGTCCACCACCCACAGAGCAACAGATGATCGGAGCTTGGAGTCAAGGCGTGACGTCCTCCCTGCAGCCGGATCCTATCGCATCACCAGTCTGGTCTCTGACGGCTCGCCAGTATGGGGGCTCCGAGCGCAGAGGTTCTCCGATGTGGTGCCGAGGGGCAGGCGGAAAACCTCAGGGCACTTTTCAGGGGACTGGAAACATCTTCAGGGTGACAGCAGACCGAGGCCCAGAGAGGGCAAGCCACTTATCTAAGTCACACAGCATTTCAGAAATCTCCCGACTCGCGGACCGTGTGTTCCTCAACCACGTGAGGCAGATGGGGAGAGAGGGGGTCCTGACTCTGGCCCACCGTGCCTCCCTTCCCTGCTCCCTGTCAAAGCCACGAAGACTCCCGTATCTGTGCCCGCGCTGTTGGGCCTCCGGGGAGTAGGCTCTGGGCTCCAGCAGGAGCTCTAGCATGTCCTAGGACGACACGTCAGCAGCCCTGGCCACTGGAATGTCCCATCTCAGCCCAGCACCTTCAGACGGTCACGAGGCCTGGGTTCGGGTCCCGACTCTGCCACAAACGCACTGTGTCACCACGGGTCTCTGTTTCCGCATCTACACAGTGTGGGTCCTTGCAGCTCTATCAGGGAACGTTAGTATCAGGGCTCCTATGTTGCTAACAGAGGTCAGGTGCTCAGTCCGAGGAGAGTCTCTTCTTCCAGGGTCACGTCCCCAACTCCCAGACCCGTGGCCGTCAACCGGTCTAGGGGCCACAGTGTGCGAGACAGCTTAGCCAAACCTGCCTCCTCGCCCTGAGTCCCGCCCGTCTTCTCCCTCAGGAAGCAGGACGAGTCAGTAAAACCTAGCCTCACCTGGGGAGGAAAGTGGAGGCGGCCCGGGGCTTTGCAGCCAGACGCTGCTGGGGTCCCATCCCAGCTTGGCTGCCTCCGGGTGGGGTCACGTCACTTCTCTGAGCCTCAGTTTCCCCATCGCAGATAATAACGACGGCTCCCACTGACTGCACGCACCAGGCTCCGGGCTCTGTGTGATGTGCGTTGTTGCCTGGCATTTCCACTTGGCACGTAAGGAACCTGAGGCTCAGAGAGGGCGTGTGGCCAGCCCGAGTGGCTACAGGTGATCGGCCACGATCAAGGCCAGACCCGCCTGACCCCAGAGCCATAAAATAGTGATCACTGAGAAGAGGAGAGCCATACTCTTCTTCTTCTCAGTAGAAGAGTAAAAGGGGCATGAGGGCAAAGCTGCAGGCACAGGAGGGCACTATTATTTCTATGGATAGGGAAACTGAGGCCCAGAGAGGGCGAGACACCTGCCTAACCTCCCACAGCAAGCCGCCTTGGTTTTCTCCTCACAGCTGGGGTGTCAGAGGAAGGGCACTGTATTTGGAATCCAGAGGGACCCATCAAGGCATACCTTCCGCCTCTGCTGACTTCATGGCTCACAGCAGGGACCCCCTCACCCTGGGCCTCAGTCTCCTTAAAACGGGGCCCCCCACGCTTTCCTCAGAGGCTTTGAGGTATAGGTGGAGGGCAGTGGGATGAAGGCACACAGAGCCACAGGCCGGCATGTCCGGGAGGGCAGGGGTAGCCCCACCAGTCACTGTCTTCCCAGAGCTTCGCCCAGCTCCTGGCACGTACTAGCTGCACATTTAGTATTTGCTGAATGAATAGCATCCAGGGTCCCAGGGCCAGCGCCTGCCTGCAACCTTGGGCAGTCGTGGGGAGGAGGGCAGCTCCTTTGTCTCCAGGCAGGGAGGATGCCCGGGAGGCCCGAGGGGTCAGGTTCATCCCAGGTGCCCCCATCTGCATTCAGGTGATTCCTTCGCCTCAGCGAGTACATTATGCAAATGCCTCGAAATGGATGTTTTCCTTATCAGATTTAAAACACTGTATGAGAACAGACTCAGTTAATCTCCTGAGCCGGGGAGGGGGTTTGGCAGAGCAGCCTGTGATAGAGGCCCGATTCCCGTCTCTTCCCCTGTGTGTGTGGTTAGGCAGCTCCCCTCTCTGGTAGCCCACGAGGGTGGTGAGGATTGCGGCATTTGGGCCCCCCCCCATCTCTCCCCGTTGCCGGGAGGGGGTTGAGGGGCAGCCCAGGAGGACAGGAAGGGCCTTTCTCTGTCCCTCGGGCTGTGGCCCCCCCTCCCCGGTTTATAGGAAGAAGCACACCCCCGAGGGCCTCCCACGGGGCCATTTCCCTGCAGCCGCATTTGCAGCTTTACGGTGGGGAAAGAGAGTAAGACTGAACGGCTCGGGTTTGATTTACTAGCTTGAGCCGGCGTACTCGGGGCCCAGCGCCCCTGGCCCTCAGTCTGCTGTGCAGGATGGCCTCTGAGCCCCCACTGGCAGGTGCAGACCTCTCTCCCTTCAGTGAACAAAGACAGGCGGGGGCCAACCGTGCGGGGAGGGAGGTGGTGGCCAGCCTGATGGATGGCGTTCAAGGCTGGCCCCTGCCCCTCTTTGGTCCGAGGCCTTAGGCGAGTCACTGGACTTCTCTCTGGGGGAGTGTGTGTCTGCTTCTCTGTGAAACGGGAGAATTTCCTCAGGCCCGCAATCCAAGCGGCTCTAAAACCCAGAAGCTTGAATTCATCTGGAAGCACACCCAACATGGGCGATCTTTACCCTCTCCACGCCTTTACCTCCGGATTCCCCATCCACAGAACACAGGGTCTCTGTCCCTAAAACCGCAAATTCATCACATTTGGCCCCCCAGGGCTCAGATAAGGGACTGTGGTCCTCCTTCACCTGTGGGAATCAGTGATTGAGACGCCTGAGGGGTTTAGCATACAGCCTGGCATTTTGCATTTGAGGAAACTGAGGCCCCAAGGGAAGTAAGTCCCTGCCCCAGGCTGCAAAGTCGGCAGGTGAGACAGATCTCTGGACCCCAGGTAACGGTGCTCTTCCTGTGATGCCCCAGCGGGGAGGAGAAAACCGAAAGGTGGCCCACCCTGTGACCCTGGGCAGGTCTGTCGCCCTCTCTGGGTCTCAGTTTCCCATCAAGAGCAAGTGAGACACTGGACTGTGATTTCCGAGGGTCCCCCTGACCCTGACACTTTTGGATTCTAATTACAAACACCTGGCTGACGACGGAGACTAGTGCCTTTGCTTCAGAGAAGCCTCTTGAGAAGACACAGGGTGTGGTTCTTGATCAACCCAGGGCCCAGTTTTCAGGGGACGGTGGCTCTCCTGAGACGGGAGAATCCGTAGCGCTCTTCGGCAACACGGTCACTTTGCCTGTTGGCTGTGTTGGTCGGACCACAGGGGGTCCAAGCTGTGGGCAGCAAAGACGGCCGAGGGGGCAGTGGGGGTGAGCTGAGCCGGTGCCTCCAGGGCAGAAGTGACATCTCCGTTCTGACAACTAGGCAGGGAATTGACAGGGGGCTTTGGGAAGTCCCTGGTCATCTCCTGGAGAACAGTGCACAAGAGGGGCTCTGAACTCACAAACAACTGGCTTCAAATCCCGCTCTGTCCCTTGCTTGCTGTGTGACCCAGGGCAAGTCACTTCCCTTCCCTGGGCCTCCGTTTACTCATCAACAGAATGGGGACAAGGGCGATACCTACCTCACTGACCCAAGCGGGTTCACAGGGATAAGGCAAACAGCACCACGCACCACGCTGGGCGTATAGCAGGTGCTCAGGAAGGCCGGCTGTTAGCAATTCAGGAGCTGACGGAGCCACCGGGAGGGGCTGGACTCTGATGGACAATGCAGACGATGGGACGTTCTGCAGGATAGCCGGCCAGGCCTCGAGTAAACCGTGTTATGGAGAAAAAAAAAAAGGGGGGGGGGGGAGAATTTAGGGCCATAACAGCCAGATGTGTGGTCCCGGACAGGATCCTGGACATTTGGGGGACAATTAGGAGGAAATGTGACTGTGGCCTGGGAATTAGGGTACAAACATATTGTAGGCATGTTGCTTTACCCCTCTGGGCCTCCGTTTCCTCATCTAAGACAGTGACTGGGCCTGGCACACAGTAGGGTGCTAAGAGACAGTCAAGGGGCTGGACCCGACCAGCTTTCAGCAAGGGCTGGGGAAGGGGGTGCCTGCTCGGCACCTACCCCGAGCTAGGCGCCTTACCAAAAGCTCTTGCCAGGGAGCTGAAAGAAAAACGGAGCCCTGGAGAGGCAAAGGGGCTGGCCCAAGCACCCTGGGATGGCCAGCGGGGGCCCGACTGTGTGCCGACCCACAGCCAGCTCCCCTAACTCGACAGGCTTCTAGCCGTCCACCAGGAGAAAATCCTCCCCAACAGAGAGCACAGGCGCAGACCACAGCAGCTACTCTGTCTGCCGTGAGTCACAATATTTGCTGCCTGTCTCCCAACGTGAGACCTCTGCCAGACCCAGGGAATTGTGAACTTCAGGCCGTATGGGTGGGTGTTAACTCCACGGTAGGCTGCAGAGGCTGGGAGCAGCTCCAAATGCTGACTTGAGAAGCTGCTGGCAAAGAGGGAGCTGGTGTTTAGGTGACCACCTCTCCCGGGAGGGGGCCGGCAGGGGGCCGGCAGGGGGCCGGCAGGGGGCCGGCAGGGAGGCTGGAAAGCCAGTGGGCGTGGGCCGGGTTTCTCCAGTAGCGACCCCCGGGGTCTCAATCCAGGCGGTTTGGACACACTGGGCTGGGCCCTTCTACCGGACTCTGGGCACCATTCTGAAATGTCTGGGCTCTCTCTGAGAGACGCTCCATTTTTTGGCACAGGACAGTGGTAACAACGGGAATTCACAAGCACCTACTATGTGCCAGGCACGGTACCAAGGAAGTGACGTGCACTTTCTCACTCGGTCTTCGTGAGACTTCTCACGTGGGTATTACTATTATTTCCCCCTTTCAGATGCGGAGACTGTGGCCTCCAGAGGTGGCCTGGCTTGCCTGAGGCCACGCAGCCGATGGGCAGTAGAGGTGAACAGAAACCCAGGCAGAGCTGAGCTGTCCAGCACCAACATGGTGTGCTTAATCGACCTTTGGGGTCACTAGTTCAGTGTCCTCAGCCTTGGCCCCGCATTAGAAGAATCACCTGGGGGCTTTTGCAAAACACCCCAGACTGTGGAGATTAGTTAAATCAGAACACTGGGGAGGAGGTGGGCATGCCAGGGGTGGGGGTGGGGTGGAGAGGCTGAGGTGCAGCTGGGAGCGAGATCTACTTCTGCAGGTGAGGACGAGGGTGATGGGGTGATGCTCCCAGCGAGTGCAAACTGTCTACACACGTAATAGAAAAGACCGGTGGCCAGGAATGGGTGCCACTAGGCCCTTAGGGTGGCTTATGGTGGTGGCTGGGGTGAGGCTGTGCTGGCCAAGGCATGCAGGTGGCTGCTTCACGGAGTCATGAGCAACGGGCTGCCTTCTGCTCCAGGAGTGACACATTGTCCCCAGGGAGGGAGGAGGAGGGAGGGTCTCAAGGAAGCAGGTAGGTTCTGGGGGCCTCAGCTTCTGGACACCCACCATGGGCATCTCTGGGCGCCCCGGGGAGCTCCCAGGCTGGCCTCCTGCAGTGTGGAAATGCTGACAACCAGTATCCCCGAGAAAGCACCTTTCAGCCCTGGCTGCTTATTCAAATGGTGTGGGGAACTTTCGAAAACACGCAGGCCCTGGCTCTGCTCTGACCGAGTACATCAGAATCCAGAGGAAATAACGAGCCCAAGCATGGAAAGCAGCAAGAATTGCAACGAACCTGGGTCCACACAGTAGCACGCAGGGGCTGAAGGCAGGCACTACAGGCAGGTCGTCTGAGTGGGAAGCCTGCCTCTGATGCGTGCGGACTAGCTGTGTGGCCTTGGCTGAGTTACTCAACCTCTCTGAGCTTCAGTTTCCCGATCTGTCAGATGGGGCTGAGACCAGCAGTTATTCTCCAAGACTGGGGCAGATTAAAAGAGGTGATGTCCATAGTGTTTAGAACGGTGCCTGGCACATGGTCGGTGCTCAGGATTAGTATTACTGACTTATGCATTATTTGTGTTTTGAAGAGACACTGGTAACTCCGATCAGTGATGCCGAGGCAGGCATCCTTCATATTGCCCTCACGTCCCTGGCAGTGACCCCTGGCACAGCCCGAGAGGCCTGGCATGGTGGGGGGAGGGGGAAGGGCAGAGCTCAGACCTGCTCTACAGGCCAGCTCCCACTCACCCTCCCCGTGAACACCCTGGGAAAGGCACCCGCTGCCCCCTAGTGGCCAAGGGCAGAAGCGCAGGGCCATTTTGCCCAAGTCGTGACATCCCTGCCCAGCCCCCACCTTCTGTGTGCTCCCTGCAGGTCCCCGGCTGCTGGAGCTATACTTGGCAATGTGCTAGCTACAAGAGCTTTTCGATGGATTCTGCCATTTCAGAAGGATATCTGACTGGTAATATAAAGTTCAAATAGGGCCAGGCAGGTGCCAGGTACTAGGCTACAAACCCCTCGGGTCTTTTTTCCCCACCCAGTGAACTTTAGAAAAAAGGAAGATTCCAGGACTTACAGGTTGGTTTTTGTTTCCAGGGCTAACAAAAATCTGTGAATTTGTGACTGCTCATGACTCCAGGTGCTAGGAAGCTTAAAATCCCCCTTCTGGAAAAGCAGGTAGGTTGTTCTGAACGACCGGGGCCATCTAGGAAACCCCCACCCTGTCCCCGAGACACACAACCAAGTGACCCAAAGCCCTTCTTTCCTTCACCTTAAGAGCTCCACAGGGCAAGTGGCTGGAGAAGGGACAGGGACAGAGGAGGCAGGCATGGGCGGGCTGCAGACTGTACAAGACTGTATCCTCCTTCTTTCTGGACTCCGAGTAAAGCACTGGTTTACTCAAGAGCTTTTTATTTCCCCTCTGCCAGTCCTGTGATGGGAGGTCACAAGGTGAAGGCCACCACCTGGACACCCCCTTGGGAGCCCACAGTCTAGCTGGAGAGAAGAGCAGGCCACACAAAGTGCCGAGTGGTTCAAACAGACTGGAGGTGCGAGGGGAGGAAGGTGGGGGTGAGGGTCACCCTGCCAGGGGTCAGGGAAGGCTTCCCGGAGGAGGTGGGAGGAGCGGGGCCCTGAGAGACAGGTGGAAGTGCAGAGGAAGGGGGGGGGGAAAGCGCCCTGCTTCAGGAACCACACTCCCGCATCTGAGCATCCAACCAGGTGGGCAGGGGGTCTGGGGAGAAGGCAGAGGCCCAAAGCGGATGGGTGTGTGGGAGCTGCAGGGAGGACAGGAGGGAAGCCCCCCACATGTCAGAGGACATGTCAGAGCCCCCCACGTGGCCCCACCGCCTGGGCAGCTCAAGGGGATGCAGGACGCAGACCGTGTCTTCTGGGTGGCCCAGTCCGCTGCAGGTTCCAGGTCGCGCCGCTGGGACTGGGGCCCACCGGCCAGCACAGAGGCCGGCTCCGGCACCCAGAATAATCCAGGAAGGGGCTTCGCGGTGGGGCTGCAGCGGCACAGGCTCCTCTCAGAGGCCATCCAGGGCTTGCCGCACGGGGGCGTCCAGGGAGGTGGCCGAGTGGACAGAGATGCCAGGGGCACCGATGCTGGTTTCCCAGCAGTCAAAGCCGCAGCTGCTCAGGGCCTGCTTCACGGCCTCGACCACCGACTGCTCCAGATCTGGGGGGACGGAAGGCAGCAGGTCACCCCACACTCGTCTGCTCCCTTCGAGGCTGTTCAGGAAAAGGCCCGGGACAGGTCTTCCCGTTGGAATGTGGAGCCTTGCACCCTCTGGGGGAGGGGGCAGCGGTGGGCACGGAGCAACAGGGAAAGTCACGGGCCCCGAGTCACACGGCCCCGGCCCCACCGCGTACCAGCCGTGGGGCCCCAGACAAGCGGCTTCCCTTCTCTGAGCCTCGGTCTCCTCATTTGGGAAGGGGGCCAATAGTGATTACTACTCCCCAAGGGTTACTGAGAGGCTTCCATGAGGAAAGGCAGGGAAGGCGCCGGCACACTGCCTGGTACACGGTACACGCCCCAGAAGCGTTCTCCCTCATCATCGTCACTGACCGTGAACGAGGAGCCAACGGTCAAAGTCGGCTGTAGGCCACAGTGACTTCCTGAGGTCTGGGGCCGTGCTGAGAGCGAGGGGGGTGGTTGGGGCCACTGTGGGCTTACTACAGAGCAGTGGGCAACGGTGGGAGAAAAACAGGGAGGAGGAGAAGGTAAAGGAGGGGAGAGAAAGACCAGAAGCAGGGGCAAAGGGAAGGCCGCGCAGGCGGGAGCACTGAGTGCCAGGTCCCGAGGGCAGGTGCGGTGTGGTGACCGAGCCGGCCCCGGGTACCGTTACCCGGCCTTGCTCTTTCCCCAGACACTGGGGGGCGGGGGAAGAAAGCCCTCGGTTTTGTAGCAAGGTCAGTCCCCATCTTGGCCACATCAAGAGGTGACAGCGGGTGATGACAATGTCCTGGTTATTCCTCAGACCTGTGGGAGACTCGGCAGGTGAGGAGGTGGTGGGGACAGCCGCCATAATGGCGGCCCCTCCCCCAGCCCAGCCCTGTGCCAGGCTTTCTAAAGGCACTTTTCTCCTTGCGTCTAGACAACAATCATAAACTAGCCATCAGCGTCCTTGTTCCACCAACGCAGCAACAGAGGCCCAGAGTGGTGAACTAACTTCCAGCTTCTCCCTCCTCCCAAGGGAACTGCCCAGGTAGAACCTTTGTACGAGCCCAGGCTGCCAACCCACCCTACCCAGCCTGCTCCCCGGTACCTGGCCTGAGGAGTGTAATGCCACAGCCACCACCGCCCGCGCCAGTGAGCTTGCTGTGCAGTCCATGGGCCATGGTCACCTGGCACAGCTGGTCCAGGGAGGCATGGCCCACGCCGAGGGCGTTCAGATGGTGCTGGTTCATGTCGATGAGCTCCTGCAGGAGAAGGTTCAGTCTGTTCCCACTCGGCCAGCCTGAAGCCAAGGTCCTGTGTCCACCCCATGCGTGTGACAGCCGCCGGTTTGGGAGAGCAAAATGGCTTAGGCAAGCCGGCACCGTGTCCCTGTCCGCTGGTAAAAGAACGTCTCCTTCCCGCGAGACTTCCCATGGGGCCGGGGTGGAGCTGGTGGGGAACACATGTCCCAGGCCTGGCCGAAGAAGCCTCTGGCCACGGTGATTGCTCAGGGATGGACCTGTGGCCCAAGCTGGGCCAACCACCGCCTTCCCAGGGTTTTCTCTGCCTCTGCCCTCGAGCTGCGAAAACTGGTTGACTTCAGAAATAAGCCGCCAGAGTTCTCTCTGCCCTACACACGGCCAGAGAGTGCATGGAAGCTGGAGAGATTTCAGACTAGGTTGTTTTGGCCCCTGGATCCAGCTATGCTCGAAGCTCTTCCTGCTGGTCTTCCCAGTTATGAGCCAATAAATTCCTTTCCTGCTAAAGCCTGCTTGAGATGGATTTCTATCATCTGCACAAGTCTGAAGCGATACGCCATCCGACAGTGGCCGCGGGTACCAATTTTCAGAATAAGAACTGGTTTCTTATTCAAACAAGGTCATAAGTGGGGGAAAGAGCTAAATGTTTTTCTGGTTTCTCTGATTTGCGTAAAACTGCTCTTCTGAGGCTCCAACGATGCAGGTTGATGAGATAAGAAAACTGA